AAAGGAAGAGGCACTAGGGATCACATTGCAAACATATGATGGATAATGCTCCACTCAGGTGCTACAACAAAGTACACTTCCCCGAATTCCATCGCATTGAGCCATGGTAGTTAAAGTGGTGTCAAGCTGCACAGTGCAGATGCAGCCTGGGACACTGTGATGTCACATATGGGGCAGGCAGATTCAGAACACGAGTTTAGGATTCTGCCGAAGGGCGGATTTCAGCCATTGCAGCTTCTCTCAGCCTTGCAAGACGTTAGGCCTGGAGCCATTCCTTCTATTCAACTTGCACCAGGGATGGATTAATGATCGCTGACTTTCCTCGTGCTCATCCTTACCATCCCTATGGAAAGAGAGGCTCTTGGGGCCACCTTCCTGAGTTCATCTCCTGTACTCTCCCAACCTGCCTTTCGTATCATTTCGGCATTTTGCTTAGAGAGGGAATGCCAAAAACTTTAAATCACAAGGCACTATGACCCTGTCTTTTGGGTGAAGGTTCATCTTTACACCCCAGGGAGAGATGTGCTGCCTTTTTGTGGGTTTTGACTTCTGCGTCACAGTTCTGGCCAAGCTAGAGAAGCCTGCCTTTGTCCAGACTTGTTTGCTGCCTCTACAGTTCTGAGCTTGTACTAAAGCAAGTACCAGAAGAAAGGCTTCTGTGTTGCCTTCTCCAGGGACTGATGCTTAATAAAGCCAGTGGTAACTGGCCGAGGAAGAGGAAAGCCCAGCTCGCTTCTTGCTCCTCTCCAAAGTCTGCAATAAAATACTCAAGGACGAAAAGTCTCCTTCTCGAACCGAAGGAAATGGTGGCCTTGTGAAATACTGGCACCTAGCAGGCCAAATTGGGAATGGCAACCCATTGGCAAAAACCGAAGGGCTTGTTCCCACTTGCATTCAAACCGGTTTGCAATTCGCCTTTGCTCCGTGTCGATGAATCGATTCCAAAAGGTCCATTGTTCCCACTATGGAAGTGGATCTTTTCATTATTCCCTTGTAATCGCTTCCCTTGTAAATTTGCAAGGTTCCTCCAAGTCACAGTTGATGTCATTGGTCTGCATATGGCTATGGAGGAGATACTTCTCTGATCACACTCCTGCTCTCCACCAGCCATGGCATGGTCTGCATCCCCTCAATGGTAAGTCCTGTGGGGACTTTGGTCATCATGGAGGGTGGAAGGGAACACCAACTTCTGCAGCGATCAAAAAGACATGTCTGCCTATGGCAGACTTACACCTCCATATGCCAGTCAATACCTGAAGTGGGAATTCTGGAGGGTGGGGGAAAGCAGGTGCCTCTGAGCATCTGCAGAACATATTTCACAGCTCATCTCTGCAATATTATTGATTCAATAGTTGTCCCTCAATAGCCACAGATTTTTTTATTCATGGATTCAACTATCCATGGCTTGAGAATATTCTCTCTCTCTCTCTCTCTCTCTC